AAAGCAACGTTTCTGTTGAAGAAATCGGCGCAGAATGTCCGTTGTCTAAATTGGCGACACATTGGCCCAAAACAACAGAACTCCTGGTCAACGGAACTCTTTCACAACTGTAAGTTTTTGTGTGTATTTTTTTCAGTTTACATAGCTTTCTCTTATCCTTGATGTCTTTCAGTATTAGACCTAACTTTCTACTTTCTTAGAATTGTATGACAGTCGCAATAATCTGAGTGTATGCTACTTTTGAATAACAGCTAGATTTGTTTTAATGCAGACTCCAAACGGACTGTTTCAAGATGATTAACTTACCGATGACACAATAAAGTCTCCATTTACAACCAAGGTAGCCAAGATGCCGGTATGTGTTCTATGCATACGAATACTGTATTTTTACTTAAAAGTGATCTTAATGTCTTTTGAAAGTAAAAGTTAATAATAATTCAGTAATTCATATAACGTTAGAGGTTAACGTTAATGAATTGGAAAGAGCGTTTCTCAAGGCTTCAGGTTTATATAACATTCTTCTTTCAGATGAATACTATCTGAGTTATATTTAAAAAAATGTCCTGACTCTTCTGACTTTTAGAATGGCAGTGAATGGCCGTCTATCAAGGCGCATCCATCCATGATAAAAGTAATCCACCACATGACTCTGGCGGGGACTCTATAAAGCCCTTTTAAAGCGAAGCATTTGTGTAAGAAAAATATCCATTTTTAAAACTTTATTGTATTAAGATATTGGATACATGGATTAAGTATGTTTTAAATTACAGAAACAAAAAAGATACTCATAATTTATCATATTTATACTTTCAATAAATTAGTCTTTACATAATTTCTGACTGCTAATTAGGCTGGCTAATTTGAAAGTTTTCAATGTCAATATTGCTTGTGATCTTAATGTATGTGTATTCTTTATGTTTACACTTTTGCATGATCTTCTTTTTTAGGCTATGAGGAAAAACTCTACTGTGCACACAGAAACAGCTCAATGCTAACTGGGGGAGCAGCTGGACAACTAGAAGAGAGAATAGTAGAACACTATTATTAATACAGATTCCTGGATTATTTTTCTGCAAGAACCAAAACAAGCAAAGACTGATGATGAGTGCTCTGAGCAAACACCGCAGTCAAGACGCATGAGTGACTTTACTGAGTTCTTCATGTAATGTTGGGCATTTACTGTACGCAGAACTTCTAATAATTTATGTGGATGCCATTTAAACCTGTTAGATTTTGATGTTTTAGTTTTGAGATTAATAAAATGTTATGCTTTAACAATGTTATAGCTAATCATTTTTGAGGGGTTTTAAGAGAACATTTTGGGAACAAAAATAAACTTCCGCTAAAAACTTTATAAGAAAGTTAGGGGATAATGTTTTAAAAATGTTATGATTAAACCTTTATAGAAGGTCATCACAAAACATTTTCAGAGTGTTCTTAGCGAATGTTATGCCATCTTTTAAGAGAACATTCTGGGAACAAAAAGAAAACTACCCGCTGAAAATGATATAAGAACGTCAGGGAATAATTTTCTAACAATGTTAGCATTTAACATATTTAGAATGTTTTTAGAGAATGTTATTAGAACTTTTAAGAGAACATTCTGGGAACAAAAAGAAAACTACCCGCTGAAAGTGTTATAAAAACATTAGGGAGTAATGTTCTAACAATGTTAGCAATAAACATATTTAAAATGTTTTTAGACAATGTTATTAGAACTTTTAAGAGAACATTTTAGGAACCAAAAAAAAACTACCCGCTGAAAATGTTATAAAAACATTAGGGAATAATGTTCTAACAATGTTAGCAATAAACATATTTAAAATGTTTTTAGACAATGTTATTAGAACTTTTAAGAGAACATTCTGGGAACAAAAAGAAAACTACCCGCTGAAAATGTTATAAGAACGTCAGGAAATAATGTTCTAACAATGTTAGCATTTAACATATTTAGAATGTTTTTAGAGAATGTTATTAGAACTTTTAAGAGAACATTTTAGGAACCAAAAGAAAACTACCCGCTGAAAACATTATTAGAACACTGCATGGTAATGTTCTCAGAACATTTTTAGAACAAAAAAATCCTAGCTGGGATGTAAAGAGGCTCCAAAACAATGAACCCACGTCTGAAACTGCTACAATATAAGTGGTTGATCCGGATGTATATGATTGCAGTTGTACTGCATAAATATAATGAAATTGTCCCTGACACTTGCCTAAGATGCAGTGAGTCTAAAGGTACATTATATTATTTCATATGGGAGTGCAAAGAAGTCAAAACATTTTGGAAAGGTTTGCAAATATTTGTGCACCAAGTATAGGACGTCAGCTAAAAGAAATGGTAACTTATATGTCAATGGAAAAGATTACTTTTATTTTAAGGGACAAATATAACATTTTGATGGAGTTTGGGGACCTTTCAGATCATTCTTAACATGTGGTAGACTTGGAAAGGTGTTAATAAAAGACTAAGAAAAGAGGAGGTATAGAATAGCAATGTAAAATACTAAGAGGCTATTTGGGGGTCGTTCTTGTTTTCTGTTATGGAAATGTATATGCATTTAGTTTAAAAGCAAAAAAACAATAATAAAAAAATAAAATCAATACAACACAGTGTCAAATCTCCTAAATTGCTGTCTTTCATATTATTTTAGAGCCAACTTTGTCAAACTGGATGTCACATTTTGACAAATAATCACACTGAAACAAACATACAGCTTCAAAAGACAAGAAGCTGGGGATTCAGTGACATAGGTGTCCTTTTATGGTCTACCTCTGTCAGCTAATAGCACAGGCTTCACACACCAGCACACACTGAAAGCATTCCCATAATATCAACTCCATAACACAGCATTAAGCTCCCTTGAAAGGGGACTTAAATAATTTTCACAAAAGTGTTGTGATGTTAATTGAAAAATGCATTGAATTATTGCAGTTCTGATCTAATACATTTTAAATTTCAAATTTTTGAAAACTTAATTTACAACAACCTAAGGAACATAATTTGGGACTTTACAAAGACTGGCAAATAAAATTATTCATTTCGTATTTCCATAAATCATCTTCCTCACAATATTTTAAAAGAAAGTAAATTAACTTTTTCAATATAAAAAATAGACCTTTAAGGAAAAAGCTGCTGGATTGGGTAATTTTCTAATCACCACTTCCCACAAATGACAAGATACTGTAGGTTTTAATCTGTAGTGTAATTCACATTCTCTTTTGCTGTTTGTCAGAAAAAAATGTTACTACAGTATATCAACAGTTACTATATCATCTCCAACAGAGGTGATTTTGCAGGGGCAGACTGTATAAAATGTATCAAACAACAAATGCTGATTATTAACGAGCTGTAGTTTTATCATATATCTACATCACGCACTGACATAGATGCACATAATGACATTGGTCACCAATAAGTGCATACTTAATTTGGTCCGACAATTTCAGTACATTGATTGATGGTATTTTTTTCCCCCATTAAGCATTTTAGAATGTCCCCAACACACCTTTTCCAAAGAACGCATTTCACGCTCATAATAATCTCATCAAAAGTAAACAGGCTAGACTGCTGCAGGATGCATGTGAGTGGCAGACGTGGCAGTGCAGATTGCGCTTGTCTCCACATTTCCCATACCGAGCCTACAACGTTTTAGACTTTTGGTTTGAGGAAGTTCCACTCAAAAAGATTAAACATTTTAGAACACTAATATATATATATATATATAGCTAATCATAAAATCATAAAATTCCTGTAACCAAAATGGCATTTTAAATAAAAATGTGTGATTATAGTTCTAGTAGGCAACATTCTTGACTGTGAGTGAATATAGTCGCCATCTTTATTTATATAGCGCATTTTACAGATTGTATCAAAGCAGCTTCACGTGATAGCATTAAAAAATACAACAAAGTATGTTTCTAGACGAAAATTGCATCATCGTCACCCTTAAGTAGGCTAAGGCAGATCAATAATATTGTTGAATATTAAATGTCCCCAACTAAGCAAGCGAAAAGCCAAGGCAATATAGCAGCTGTGTTGTTACACACATCAAGTGTATGACACTTGGGGTCCTTTCATTTTTTTGCTGGAGGTAAATTACCACCTCAACTTAATTTATATACACTCAAAATTGATTTACATAAAAGTAATGTTCACATAATTGTAGTGGCAGTAGATGAAATATAGATTGTCAATTATGATTTGGTATTATCCATTCGCATCTAATTAACTAACTTGTTATGGTTACTTCATACTCACCAGAGAAATTGGCAAATTGTGAGAAAAAAAAATTGTATACTAGCAACAATCTCATTATCAAATTAACAATTTGTCAGAAAAAAAAATGCATAATTAGCAACAATCCTCATTATCAAGATGCAATGGCATTTTATTTTAGATTCAGAGCTGGATCTTTTTTAAGCTGTTACAGATATAGCTCATAAACACATCTGTAAGATTGCAGTCCAAGCAATGGCACAGTCTTTTTGAAATAAACAGACTATGTAAAGAACCAACTTTATCTGTATATCACTAATTTATCTCAGCATGCATAATATGTAGCAGTTTTGTCTTGCGGCTACAGTTATGTGATACAAATACAAGAACACATGACTATATTTCAGAAACTGATGGTGACTCCCTATCACTAATGGGTGGCACCAAAAACCTTTTTTTTTATAGTCGAGCAGCACTTAAGTGTAATTTTTATATGAAAATTTTGGTCCGGCTACTCATGAATAGCTTTTCATGTGGTCCTAACTTAAATCTGTCATTCCAGTGGAGAACAGCATCCTCTACTGCCACACACAACATGAACTTAGTGTTAACTGAAGCCTAGAATACTACTATAATACATGGTCACTTTTCTGGTCACGACAGCCCTACGGAGATTCATAAATGTCAGTTGAAAATTCAAGCATGTATAACCTTAGCTAGAACAAGGGACTTTAAAGAATATGCAAATAATTACATATATGGTTCCTGGCATTGCACTGACCTGTAATAATGTTGTCAAGAAGAGTTGTGGGCATGCAGAAAATCCCAACAAGAAGGTCACTGATGGCGAGGTTGAGGATGAAAAGGTTGGTGACAGTGCGCATGTTTTTGCTCCGCAAGACAATGAAGCACACCACTCCATTTCCGACCATGCAGACCAGGAAAATGAGAAGGTAGGAGACTATAAAGACTGCTGCTACTGATGACTGATGCAGGTAATATCCAACATATGTAATGTTGTTCTGAGGTAAGAAGAATTCACCAGTGCCATTGAGAAAAGTCCAGTTACCATCATCCACAAGGGTAAAGTTCAGGTCCAGTGTTTCATTCATTTTAGATCTGAGGATAATAGAATAGAGTTGAGAGATGCGTTTTATTCCCACAGTTATCCTCAAACAATATCAAGCCTTTATCTTTCTGGTATTGTCTCCTTTTTTTGCTTTCAGCCTCTCTCACATGCAGTTGCTACTGAACAAATCTGTTTATCTATTTGTCTCTCCGACTTCCAGCTGTATAATTAACTATGCATATTGTAAGTGATAGATTATTGACAAATAACGCCCTACCATAACAGCCTTGGCAAATATTATATAATCTACACTGGGCAAACACATTTGCCTCTCTAATCAATCAACAATTATAAGAATACAGACACATCAACACTTCAGATGACCTTGAGTCTGGTTACATGTAATCTGAAATATGTTAGTGGCTACTTCATTTGTATCAGGAGTTCATGTGTGAGAAAGTCAGAAATCATCAAGTTGTGAGATACAGTCTGGATCAAATAATCATCTGCACTCATTGTTTTTATAATGTATGCAACAGAATTAAAGTTTCTATTTATTTTATTTCTCAATTAAATAATTGTCACACATCTCACATAGGATAAATAAAATGGAATAAAGCTTTAAAGTGCTAATAGTCCGTTTTATACCAGAAGATTACAATGAGATGATTTATAAAGTAGCCTATGGGCATCAACTATTACTGTAAACACAATGCACAGTAGCAACTAGTCTATTAATCATATGCATATCCCTACTGATATCATCTCATTTTTACCACAACATTGCACATTGTGTCATTTTTAAATATATTAACAAATAATAATATAAACACACACAGACAAGTGATGTAGCCAACCAGGCAATTAACAGTCTTTCTTACCTTTTTATATACCCAATTACCCCAAAGTACCACCTGTTCCCAGGTAAAAACGAACAACACGTTCGCCCGGTCCTCCACGGAGATACATAAATATTTTTTTGAAAGCTTTTTAAACGAATAACATCTGGATTATTGTTTACGAATGAATTGCATTTCCTCTCAAAGAGAACTCCGACATATTGCGTGCCATGATTCGTAGTTTCAAGAAGTTTTACAAGCGAAGCAAAGCTGCCGGTGTAGTTCCACACTCTTCAGCGGACTGTCAGTGAACAATGCGCGGGCACGATGAAGATGGGGAGAGAGAGAGACCGGCAGAGTGATGATGCGCTTTTAAGCGTCACAGCGCGCATGGTGATGGACACAGCATTTAATTGTGCTCTTGGCTCTACTTGCGTCCAGTGTGATAGTATCAGCTTCGAACTACAGGACACATAAACAGTTCAGTACAAAGTGTTCTTATTTATTTTGCACTTTGAACTTTTGCATTGAAGCTGAGATTTTTATTTAATCAAGCCGCGGTATTTGATGCAATTGATTTCAATTTAATTTACAATTGTATTAGTGCTTTTCAAAGTTCTACATAATCATGTTATCACCGTTCTGGGAACGTACTTATATCTAGGCTACATAGCTATGTGTATCAGCAATAGGGGGCACCATTCACTAGTGTTTGTGAATAGGGCACCCATTCCAACTGGTTCCTTCCTACATAAAGGTATAATTCCCCCAAAAATGACATTTTGTTATTTACTTACCTTTATATTGTACCAAACCTGCACGAATTTCTTTATTTCATGGGTCACAAATGGGTAGATCCTTAGTAGAAAGTTGGGGATTGACAGATTCAGTCTCCATTCAATTTCACTGGATCTGTTTTCAGATAATGAAACTGAATGGTAACTTGGCCATTCCACCAAAGGGTGACATTTGCTTGTTGTAACTTTTTTTTTTCTTTTTAATCTTATTTTCAACACTGAATCTAATACTACACAACTATTCAAAATGTTGTGCATTGGTCAATCTCAGGCAACTTTATTTATTTTCTACAAGTTTTCTATGCAGAAGATGGATCCATGGTTTCTCAGTCCTGTTACCGAAATGTTTAAAAGCATGTCAATTAATTCCTTTATTTTCCCTGCAAGAATGTGTTTATTTTTAAAGAAATTGTTAATAATAAATAATTAAATAATGGATATTTGTTACAAAATTAAGGCAAGGTGTATTTTAATAAAAACACAAAGCCATTTTGTTAACGCTATACAGCCCGGAAAGTACTGTTATTTATTTATTTATTTATTTATTTATTTATTTATTTATTTAAACGATTTTACAGCGTAACCTTTAGTAATTATAGTGTACCAATAACGGACTTACAATATAAGCATAAGGGAACAATATTTTAAGTTTGGGAAATAAAGGGGTAACCAGGAGAATTTAAAAAACGATTTATACTGTTAGTATTATAAAACTTATAGGGGTACTTATTCTACTATTTATGATATAACAATCTTACATTTAGGAGCAATTTAGTAAGAACATACCTTTTTTTGAAATAATGGTGAACAAGTACATACTGTATAGGCTTTATTACAGGGTCCATATCTATGCATTTATAATCTTTTTAACAAAAGTGCACTGAAAATGAAAACTATTGCAACTTTTGTTTAAATATTGGGGAAAGATACTCTAGTTTCATGTAGTGGTGCTTGTAACTCTCATGTAGTTACAGGGAGAGTGTGACATTTTGGGCTGTAAAATAAAATGGTGTTTGTTAACCTCTTGTTCCATGTGGTTACTGGGTAAGTACAATAAGCATGCATACACACAATCTTACACCACTGACTCAAAAGCATTTATTTATTATGCAAGCGCCACCTACCCTGTAACCACAACCAGATATGTTACCCAGTATATTTTAAAAAATTGCAATAGTCATAGCTTTTCTTGCCTTGAAACATGTTAGCCCAAAAATTTTCAACATTTGCAAAAAAAAATTATTATTGTTTTATTTATAAATGCATAGATGTACCCTGTCACTTTTAAAAGCCTATACAGTATGTATTGATGCACAATTGCTACAAAAAGGTATCCAGTGAATATTCTTGCTAATTTGCTCCCAAATGTAAGATCGTTGTCTCTTAATAGTAGAATAAGTACCCCTAAGTTCTACAATACTTAGAGTATATATATATATATATATATATATATATATATATATATTTAATTATCCTTGTTGTTACCCCAAACTTTACATATTGTTCCCTTATACCTACATGTAAGTACTTTATAGGTACACTATAATTACAGAAAATTACACTGAAAAATTCCTCTTAATTACACAGTACTTTCCGGGCTATAATCTAAAGCATTACCGAAAATAATTTTCCTGGGCACAGAGCTGAACTCGCTGTCTGACAACACGGCTGTCGCCAGAGCGCAGACTAAACATTCAACGCTTCATGAAATCCTTCCGCCGTGACGCTATAGTCCCGCTGAGAACGTTTTAAAGAATGCCGGGCCTGATGGCCTCAGCTTCATCAGTACTACAGCTGGGCCTACTCCACATGCGCCCACTGCAGTTTTGGCTCAAAGCACAAGTACCACCTCAAGCTTGGTCTTCCAGTCTGCTTCGCCTTAGGGTCAGTCAAGAATGTGTCACAGCCCTGAAACCTCTGAGAGCGACCGACTGGTACCAGTCTAGTGTAAACTCTGGGACTTCCTCGAGTGTGCAGGTGGTGTCCACAGACACCTCCTCCTCGGGATGGGGAGAGCTGCACGAGGGCAGACCGTTCTTCAGCCAATGGTTAGAACGAGAAAAGCTCCTTCATATAAACTATCTGGAAATGTTGGCAGTCGACAACGCACTGAGGCGCATTTGTCCCAGAATAAGAGGTCACCACATCTTAGTCCGCTCGGACAACATGTCAGTGATATCCTACATATATCGCCAGGGCAGCATCCAGTCTCAAAACACTTTTATTGAGAGCAGCACACGTGCCTGACTCCCAGAATTTGGGGCCAGACAGACTGTCCAAAAAAATATACCAGCTGGGGAATGGTCTCTGAACCTGCAGACAAATCCTCCTGCTGTGGGAGATATTCGACAGAGCACAGGGGGACCTATTCGCATCCCAGAAAAACTCACTGCCCAAAATTTTCTCCAAGAGCAAGGATGCACTGGCCCACATGCACGTCTATGCTTTCCCCCCAGTCTCGCTCCTAAAGTGTTGAAACGAATCAGGGAAACCGGATGCTCAGTGTTCCTTGTGGCTCCGCTCTGGACGAACCAGGAATGGTTCCCAGTCCTAATGCGGCTGACGAACACGAGAAAAGACTTCCTCTCTCAGGCCAGGGGCTCAATTTGGCATCCTCACCCGGAGTGGTGGGCCCTGCATGCGTGGACCATCAACGGGTACCCGCAAACCTCCCAGAGGGAGTACGAAACACCATAGTGCAGGCCAGAGCACCGTCTACTAGAATTCTCTATGCCTCAACGTGATCAGTGTTTGTTAACTGGTGCAAAACCCAAGGTTTTTCCACCCAGAAAAAGCGGGTTTAAAGGAAGTGTTTTCCTTCCTTCAAGAGCTACTGGATAAGGGCAGGTCCCCATCCATGCTCAAAGTTTACGTGGCGGCCATAGCAGAGTTTACAGAACCTGCATACTCAGGGAAGTCAACGGTCCATGATCCAGCGGCAGGGACTTGGTCAGTCCTGTCTACAATCACAAACCCATGCAGGTGGGTCGAGCATCGCTTTCCCGAGAGGAGAGGGAGAGGCAGAGGTCCCAGGGCCCTTTATTGTGGAGGTGCCGGACATTGTGCATACAACTGCCCAGTAAAAGGGCCTAGCCCGATGGTAAACTTGAGGCTACAATCGGGTGGGATCTCCGCCAGGAAGACCTCATCAGCGACTACATCTACCTCCACCCTCCTCTTGGTAAGACTTAAATAGTCAGTCCACCGTGACCAGCTCGATTGTCAAGCACTTTTTTTCTGTTTCTGAGGCCCCTCAAACCCCTCACTCACCAGATCGCAGTTCACACACTGAATGGTCATGAGCTCCCCACCATTTCCTTATCCACTGAAGACATCACCCTCATCACCTCTGGCAACTACACTGAAATTATTTTGTTTTATATTCTGGACTCACCCCTGGCACCTGTCGTCCTTGGACACCCATAACTCATCTGACACATAAATGTGTCATAAATATACATATACACACATAAAAGTGTCCATTGGCAAATCTGTGCAAGGATTTTCCTGGTTGTAAGCGTTCTGAATTGGCGTTTTATACTGTAAACACTTTGTTCAATTGTCTTTGATATAATGGGTCCGAGACCCCCGTCTTTTTTCGGTACCAGAAAATAATAAATTGCTGATTTGTGGCTACTGCTAAGAAATTAAATTTAAAACTCTTAAGGAAATATAGTAGAATATATAGAAATATAATTTTCATCTTTTAGATTTAAGATAACCAATATGTCTTACTGCATTGTTTTGTTTTCACATGCAGATTGACAGCTCGGTAGTTGCAGAAATGGATGATGCCACTATGACTGCTTACAGGATATTCCAGCATATGATGATAGGATTGCTCCAAGGCGTTTCTGAAAAACAGACAAAAGGTGATGATCTAAGACTGTCCTTATTTGAAAAACTTAGAAGAAAGATGTGCACAACGACAAGCAATAAAGACACAGTCACACAGATCAAGATTTTGAGGAGGAGCATTCTATGCAGCCAACAAAGATGCATTTGAGAAATAACAAAAGGGCCATGGAGATGACAAGGAAAACAGAACTAAGATGGATACACGACAAGAAACACTATTCTATCACAAGCTAAAACGCTATTTTTCCCCAATGAGGGAAGAGTTCAGTCACAAAGTTGTTAACTTTCATGAAGCATACCTTGATGAGGGTGTTAGTTTGGGAGAGCTCTATGAGACACATAAATTGGGGATTTTAAGATTTTACTTGTTCACAGAGCACCTGACAAATGGAGATGAAGTGTTCACAGAGATGACAGAAGGAACTGATGAACAGACAGATGCAGCGAGGCTAAATGAGTGACAGAAAAACACAACAGAAGATAATGAACAGCTGACAAAAAAAAAAACACATGCCAGTGAACAGAAGGCACACACTGTGGAAGCTTTTGTCTCTACTGCTGTAGAGGTAGTTGATCTTACATCTTTGTGTGATACATCGGAGGTCATTTTTGGACCTTTGCAAGGTGGACCATTTTTAGAAGATCTTGATGACACAATTTTATATGGGCCTATAGAAGAGGCACAGATAAATATCAATGCCTACAGCTCAACTCCTGTACATTCTGACACAGTGCCTGCTGGCCCATTAAGTTCT